TTGGTTATAAATGAAAGTTATAATTTATTTAGTATGCTTCGAAACATACATATCTCAGGACTGTATCCAAAATATAATTGCACGACATGTGCAATAATGTATAATTACAAAAGAGCTCTCGGAGACGATAATGGTTTAGGTGAATGTAATGGGCTCGTGACGTGAGCTCAGTTAAACAAGTTCGTTGTCTTTTTTCCCATTACTCATATGAAGCCAAGGCCCCATGTAGAGCAATCGTGCAACATTGTGGCTAAATTAACTACAAAAATGATCTATATGGTTTTACTTATAAGGAAATATTACAAGACTACATGATTTCAAACTCACTTTATTAATGTTCTAAATATTTTCCTCTAAATACTTGAAATTGTACTGTCTGTAAATAAACCACAGGTATATAATGGCTTTGCGAATTCTTCAAATGTGAATTTAATTTTTAATGATTCAACGCTACGCTTTGTACAAGAGCTCTTAGAACGAGAAATTTAACTATAATATTTGGGTTTTCATTTGCAGTCGATTAATTGATATGAAACTTAGTAATTATTTAAAACTACTGAGCTGCGTTGTTCTTATATTAAATTAAAATCATCGGTCTCATTACGGGACTTAGACAGGATAGCGTTCTACAATCTTAGACACATAGAAATCTAAAAAATGTATGAGAATGACTTATTAATTATAGTAATTTTATGACAAATACTATTTTTAAAATTTCTTTTCGTATGGGATTTAGAATGTCCGCATTTTCGAGTGACATGAGACAAGTCTGACAAACTATAGTTCTATAATATAAGCTTTAGTTTCGTCATCTATTACAAGTATATCTCAATCAGATTTTTTCATTAAATAAAATCTCTTTTCATCTATGTATAAATGAACTATATTTTTGTTAAAAATTTCATTCATATAGCCGAATACACAAAATACGTATTACGTTATTTTTACCGAAAGGTATAAAAATCAAATTTTAAACACGCATACCTGGCTAAAAATATTCAAATTCAAGAAAACCTTTCACAGCTTATCTATGACTCATATATAGAAGCGGGCAGTCAAATTTAAAGCCATTCATACCCAGGGGCTCGATTAGAGTGTTGATAAATCAAAACAATATATCATATACATAATATGTAGTTTATTTGTAATTATTCCAAGCCGTACCCTCCGACATTTCGTGGCGAAATATTACTAAGGAACAGAGAGAAAATTGTTTTTTTTTTTAATTAAAAACTAGCACTGCCCGCGGCTCCGCCCGCGTTGAGATGACTAAAAACCAAATTCTTAGGTTTTACATATTAGTATATTCTTACATTGCAGTTTTTTTTAATTTTTCTCAGAAATAAGATATTTTTCCGCAGTAAAAAGTATCCTTTATGTTGACCCGGATAACCAGCTATTGTTGCAGTGAGTGCGAAAGCGATCCTGCACGCCCCATTGCACTGCGGCGAAGGGTTCCGCTGTGGGTTTTAGTGAGTAGGAGTCTCACAGTATAACCAGCTATCACCATACCGAATTTTATCAGAATCCCTCCAGTGGTTTTTCTGTGATGCGGTAACAGACAGACAGACTGGCTGGCAGATAGACAGACAGACAGACAAGAATTCTAAAAACTATAGATTCGGCTTCTTATTGTTGATTCGGCTTAGTTACAACTTTATTATATGTATAGATAAACAAGTGAATAAAAATTATACCTAAGTAGAAATTTAAAAATAAAATGTAAAAAATGTTCATGTAGGTAAATGTTAATTTAGGTAACAAATTATTCATTTAATCGTTATCGAATAAATTGTGTCAGAACGCACACGTTAGCATATTTTAATTTTTATATGCACATAGATAATTGAATTAGTAGGAACATTACCGTGTAGATATCTATTAGGCAATTAGGTAAAACATTTAAAAATTGAATTTCTTACACTTCTAGTCTTTGATAATTAAAATTATATATATAAATATAATATATAAATTCACCTTTATTTGACGTTAGTTAAATTATTTTGTTGTGTGCCTATTTTCATAATTTTATCGGCGCCTGTTTTGTGTAGGTTAAATTGTTGATCGAAGTCAATTAGTCAATTATTCCATTTTAATTTTGAAGTAATCAAATTATTTCCTATTATTTTAATTTATTATTAAAGACTTTAATTAAATTATTATTGATAATTTTTAATTATATAAATTATTTTCTTATGTATAACTTGAAGACCTCATAAGCCAGCTTAACAACATATCGCAATAAAATTTCAACATACATTTAAGTTTATATTTTGCATGCACGTCTGATTCTAGTGACATTGCAACAATTAGTACAAAAGATACATAATGAGTTGTTACGCGACAAGGAGTACAGTATCTAATCTACCTTATTAAAATGTAAGCATTTATTTCGATATAATAATAATTAAAAGTAGATCAAGTTTTTTAATTGGACAGGAATAACTGGTTATTTAGAGAAATGTATGACAGTTATCTTATCCGGTGAATAAATATGTGGTTTCACTTTATGAATAGTTTTTAAGGATAATTATGTAAACATACTTGTATATTAATATGTGCTCAAGTATGAATTGTAGAAAATTTTATAAATGAAATTTAATTTATGTCTGTAAATTATTATGGTTTTATGTATGCTACCAAATTCCAAGTAATCTTTAAAAATACATATTATCTTTCTTACTGTTGTTTAATATCTGCCTGCCAGTTAAAACAATTTTATTACCGGATAAATTTTTAGGTTAGAAGATATGATATTTTATCCTTATTAACATAACAGGTTTTCAGGATAAGAGAAAGAAAAATGGATAAGTCTACGACATTTACTGGCGGCTACAAGATTAGGTCGCAAGTGGATTAGGCTCCTTTTATTACTACTCCTATTTTTATTCCATTAAAAGTAAAACCCCACGGCCCACCATGGTATATGATGGTGGAGTATATGAAAGAATGTAGTGGGATATTATACAGTAGATGAAAAATATCGGCAACTTGCGCACAAAGAAAATAGTACACAGCTGGTGCTTGAACCCTTCCCAAAATAAAACCTGTCTTTACAATTTTATTTTTTCACTTATGTACAACCCACTGAACTTATATAGCGTTACCCTTTCGAGAAAATTACCTTTTTACCGCATAATTTATTTAATTTCCAATGTCAAAGGCAAATTTATAAATATATTTACAATGTGAAAAATGTTAACAACACCATTTTATAGGAACAAAATAATTATAAAGCTATATATTAATAGTATTTATTTAACAAAAAAATAACACTAAATACAACAAGTAGTAAACAATGAAACTGATTGACTCTATAGAGAATCAAATAGTTTAAGTACCTACATAATTAGTACTTAAAATATGATAGTATTGTATATATTCTAAAATGTTTAATCCCTCCACGACCGCGGACACGCCGGCGTTACAGTTAACAATAGATATCTAAATTTACATAGAGGTGTTAATGTAAGTAGTAAAACAAAGTCGAATAGCATTGCTAGTTTTACCAAAATGTAAGAAGCCAAAGTATAAGTATACTGGTTTCGATATCAGTTATTATTCATTAGTCACATGACCGCCAGAGAAATTCATATTAACTACTAGCGGCTCACCCTCGCTTCGCTCAGGTTTACCTCTAGGAAAACAAAAATAAACCTATCCCACGGGAACCGTTCATTTTTCTGGGATAAAAAGTAGCCTATGTGTTATTCCAGACAATAATCTATCTCTGTTCCAAATTTCACCCAGATCTGTGGAGCCGTTTTGGCGTGGAAGAGTAACAAACATCCATACATACCTACTTACAAACTTTCACATTTATAATATTTATACACATAATCACATTCAAGACAACAAAAACAACTACACGTTATATTAATAACATGTAAAAGTAAGTCAAGGTCACTTAAGAAAGTAAGCTCCGAAGTTATTTAATATATTTAATATCACTTTTACTCGAACTTCTTAGATTGTACTAGACTTCAAAATATAGACATTAACATTGTCTTCAGACTAATAAATAGGCATTATATATATTAAATTATAATAATGATTTGAGATAATGGTTATTACTTTCGCTCTTAATTACAAATATATAATTATACAAATTATGGAAAATTAATTATATAACCATAGAATATTATAAAACGTATAATAAAAAGGGAAGTAATAAAAATATTGTAATATAACTTTTATGCAATTAACTCTACAATTAGGCAAAGTACTACGGTACTATTCTGTAAAAGAAGAAGTAAAATTATTTAAAAGGTACATAAATAATGATCATTATGTTTGTTCATATAATAAAAACAATAATAAAATTGTTGTAAGCAGGGGCGGATCTACTTAAAGGCTTTTTGGGCTGCAGCCCAGGGCCCCGCGAATACAGAGGGCCCCCAACCGAACTGAAACCAATAGACGATATTGTCCATAATAAAAATTATCTAGAATTTTAAAAAATCCGATCATGAGGTTGGCAACACTGCGATCAATCAACCCGAGTGCGCATCTATCAAATGGAACGGGGAATTCCCTGTCGCTTGTTTTCAGTCGGTGTATTCCGTGTATAGTAGTGTCTATTACTGGGGACTTCCCTCCGCTTATCGCCCGACGCAATTTTGTTATTTTTCCGCACTTCTGCTATAGTCGACTATATTAACGAATTGACTTTGTTATTGTTAGAAATGTGTTTAGTGCGTGTGTTTAGTTTACTAAGTAATAGATAACTTAAAAGTTATAAGGACCGGACCTTTCTTTTAATTTACTAAAATTGAAAGTCTTCAGCATAACTAGACTTCCTGCTTTTAATAGGCAGTAGGTAAGTAAAAAGAATTATAAAACATGACTTTTTATTTCAGTTTTCAAAACTAAATGAATCAAACTCGTTCGATATTTAATTATAATTTGTGAATTGCTACACTCATTACAAAGTAGGTATTAAAATTAAAAGTTCTATCCAGTTCTTTGTTTATTTTCAGAAAAATATCTTATTTTACAATATGTCTGCTAGAAAATATAAAAGTGGAGCTGAAAAAAGAAAATTACAGTTTAGTCGAGAACAAGAAAGAAATAAATGCGCAAAAATTGAAACTTTTTTTAAATCGGAACATATAAACGCGAATGAAATAGCTATAAATCCATTAAAAAACGTAAAGGAAGGTATTTTATGCGAAGAGAATCTAACCGATGGCAGCAAAAAATCGCAAAACGAGGAAAAAAATACAAGTGATGAAAATATGCAAGATTTTGAAAACCAGAAAAAAAATACCAACGATGAAAATGTGCAATATCTTGACTTCCAGCAACCCTCTGGTTCCTCTGAAAATGAAATTGGTGTTCAGCAAAAGGGAGGTAATACCGATACCGAGGTGGAAAGAAATTTAGAAAATATTAAGTTTGAGTTTGAGAAATATGTTGACGTGGGCTTGTGGCCAGATTTGCTGAATAATGATTTTATTAATTTCGTCCTCTCACATGAAATGACTGACTTTCAAAATAAAGATCCGAAGAATATATATTCAGCTTCAATGAAGAAATATAAAGAACAAAATAGATCTTTTTCAAATAGGTATTTCACTAGAAAAATGAAAAATGGCCAATTACTGGAAAGATCTTGGTTATGTTATTCAAAAAGAGTTGGTACTGTTTTTTGTTTGACTTGCAAACTTTTTTCTAAAACTCCTTCTCAATACACAACCGGATTTTCTGATTGGAAACACATAGGATTTTGTTTAGAAAATCACGAAAATTCTAATGAACATAAGAATTCAATGTTAGTGTGGTTGACACGAAAAGAAAATAAGTCTGTTTTAGACAAGCAGCTTCAGGAGCAATTAAATAAAGAAACAGAATATTATCACAATGTCCTAAAACGGGTTATTGCAGTGCTAAAATTTCTGAGTATAAGAGGCTTAGCACTTAGAGGTTCCGAGGAAGTATTTGGTTCTCCACATAATGGTAATTTTATGGGTGCTCTAGAGCTATTGGCAGAATTCGACCCATTCATACGTGAACATATTGAACAACGAGAGCTGCGACCAAACCCTGTAATATCATATTTATCAAAAACAGTATATGAGGAAATAATTGAGATTATGGGTAAACAGATAATTAAACAAATTATAACTGAAATAAATAACGACGACACAAAGTATTATTCAATTATGATGGATTCAACCCCAGATCTGTCTCACGATGACCAACTTGCTATTGTATTACGATACTGTTTTCGGGGAAAAGTGTATGAAAGATGTGTATCTTTCATTAAAATTAGTAGTCATACTGGCTTATATTTATTTAATATTCTACAAGCCTTTTTGGAAACAAATGGACTACTACTGGATAATTGCAGGGGACAGTCATATGACAACGCTGCTAATATGGCCGGAGTCTACAATGGTGTACAAGCACTACTAAAAGAAAAAAATAAATCCGCGGATTACGTGCCATGTGCTGCGCATTCCCTTAACCTAGTTGGTCAAGAATCCGTGAAGGTTGCAACCGAAATTGTAAATTTTTTTGGAATAGTGCAACAAATATACGTTTTCTTCTCTGCTTCGACCCATAGGTGGGAACTGTTAAATCGTGAAACAAAACTAAAATTTACGTTAAAAAGTTTAAGCCAGACCAGATGGTCTTGTCACTTTGATGCTGTCAGAGCTTTGAAAAGTAATTATGATGGCATTATGAAAATTCTCAATAGTTTCGGCGAAAATGACGATGAAAAAGTTGATTTCCGAAAAGAGGCACGAAATTTATTTAATAAACTGGCGAAACTAGAAACTGCAATTTTGATTGTTTTTTGGGAAGAAATTTTGGAGAGATTTAATGTAGTTAATAAAAAAGTACAGAGCCCTGGTTTAGACATTGGTGAAGGCAATAAGTTAATTGTGTCATTAAAAGAGTTCGTGAAAAACATAAGGCAACAATCAGATCAGAAGCTAAAGGAATACGAAGAGAAAGCTAAAAAATTAAGTACTAGTGTGGGAACAGACTACAGTGACATAAATAAGAGACGCATTACTTTGAAATTTTCAGATAAATCTACAGATAAAGTCTCAGTGAACTGCGCAGAAAAATTTAAAAGAGACACGCTTAACGTTGCGTTGGATAAGATGATTATGGATTTAAATAATAGAAGCCAAGCCTATGAGACCTATAGCAAAAAATTTAAATTTTTAATGGATTTGCAAGACAAAAATCAAGAACACATAGATCTGGAAAGTTTACGTAATATTATTGATTATTATCCAAATGACGTAGACGAACATTTAGTGAATGAGTGCATTCAGTTGAAATCTTACTTACTGCAATCTAAGACAGAGTCTTACACCTCTTGCAGTGAAATTTTTTGGCTAATTTATGAAAAGAAACTTGTTGATGTTTTCCCAAACTGCTATACTATCTTAAAGATTTTTTTAACGATGCCGATCACTAGCTGTGAAGCGGAGCGTTCTTTCTCCAGGATGTCGTATATAGAAAACAAATACAGGACAACAATGTCGAACTATCGACTAAATCATTTATCAGTTCTTTCGATAAATTGCGATTTAACAAAGGACCTACAGTGCGATGACCAAATAAAAGAATTTGCAGCACAAAAATGCAGAAAGGTTGCTTTATAATTTATTTAACATAACCATTTATAACCCGTCAATTTATTTTGCAATAAATAATGTTTTAATAAATAAATAAAATATTTTGTTTTCCTATTTTCTTCCTGTACTTAACATATATTACATTACATATACCTACATCACTACAGAAAACAGTTTCTTGTCAAAATGGCAATTAGTTGAGTAATTAGGTAGGGCCCCTAAGCAGTATTAGCCCAGGGCCCCACAAATTCAAGATCCGCCTCTGGTTGTAAGTGTAAAATCTAAAGTAGGCGTTAAAGTACAGGTAATTAGTTTTTTGCTAAGTACCACGCCTGTTAAAAATCCTTGACTATTGTGGTTGTTTTCACAAAGCAATTCGTTTTTTGCAATATATAATAACAAATAATCACTGGTAAATATAACGATCTATTGAAAAAAAATATATTCAGTTAATTATTTATGCATAATATTAAACTGTTTTAATTCTAATATAGTTCTAATAATCCACATATTATTGCTTCATATATTCACACACACCATGAAAAATGTTCCAAATAAGTTGGGAGACATTTCTAAGAAAATGTTGCAAATGATCACCAAATTTGAAGCGCTAAGAATTGACTTTATTTTTGATGGTGTGTAATAAATGCTATGCTAGCAGTCTTATAAATCATCTAATTACTACCCAAGTATTATATATAAAAATCAGCTTTTATACTATAACGTAAGTAGAATTATGATTTCATGAAAAGGGTGTCTGGCAAGGGTTTGCCACGATGTCAAGTGTCTGGCATTGAATGACGTGATTTTTTATAATATTCTGATGGTAATACCAAAAAATCACACTTTATTATTTGATGAATTTAGATTGGTATTTTACACACCTTTAGTACCGTGTACATGCCAAAGCCACCATAGCCTGAACTTCATAATGGTCCATCGTTCTTATATGTGTTGGGAGCATGCGTTGACGAACTTTTAGCTTTTATAAAATGACGAAGGTCTGGCGTTCACAGGCTCTTACGCCATATAATAATGTGTAATGGGTAAAGGTTAAAATAAAATATATTCATTCGTATATATTTTTATTTCATAAATAAATAAATAAATTTTAAATTAATCAATTAATTATATGTTAATTTTTATTTCAAATGTAAATGTATATTGTTATCTAATTTATAGTTTTTATTGTTGTTGTGTTATAATAAATAAATTATAATAAATAAATAAATAAATACTTACAACAGAAAGGTGCTTTAAGTTAAAAATACTTCATCCAATATACGTTATTTTCAAATTATTTTACATGAAAGACAAGTTCTTTTTGTATTGATTCTTCTATTGGACCACTATTGCTTTGCGTCTGGTCGTAAAAATTTTTTTTGAACAGAATTGAAAACGGGTGAAATTTTTTGTATCTCGGTGAAATTTTTGTATAGAACTAATATCCTAACTCAATCACTTGACATTCATGGGGAAAAAGTTATTTTTATAGATATTCTTCGCCAAGTTTCATCAAAATATATTCAAAGGTAACGCATGTTTAGACATCCAAATATTTTTATAAACTTTCATAGTTGTAATATTAGTAGGAATCGAATTTTATCTAATTTAGAATTAACAGTGTCCGAAACAATCCAGAGTATTTAACCATAAAATCCTTCTTGAACATTTTCCAACTCTAGAAAAATTCCTTTTAAATTCCATTTTAGACGTTTAAATTGTACAATTAAATACAAAAGTGAGAAAATTATCAATAAATTCCTTATCTTAGAATTTACATGATACAAAATTATCGTATGAAGAATGCTAAGATTTTATTTCAATAATTCTAATTTCTTGTATTTATCAAAGTAAGTAAATTGGATAAGCTTTATATAAATCTTTTATTATTACATTTAAACATACATATGAAGTATATATTATGCATATACGATCACTATTCACATTGTTCTGTTAGCTTTCTAACAAATATCATAAGTTTCAAAATAGTTGGTATTGAATAAGAGATAAAATAGGTTACCAGTTATTGTATTTTCCCATGGGAAAGAACGATTTTCTTGAAGTAAAAGGTATCCTAATGTTGACTCGAGTAATAAATTCTCACTTCACCAAATTTCGTTGAAAGTGGTTCATTAATTTTCGCGTGAAACGCGAACACATAAACAGACAAACAGACATACAGGTAAACAGACAAAATTTTTAATAACTATTGCTTTGGGGTCTATATTGTGTACATAATACGTTACAAACAAACAAAAATAAATCTATCCTACGGGAACCGTACATTTTTCCGGGATAAAAAGTAACCTATTTGTTATTCTAATGTATGAACTATATTATTGTAAAGTTTCATTAAAATACAATCAGTAGTTTTTGTGTACTAAGGTGTATAAGTTACTATAGTTTTTTAACAGACAGACAGAGAAACAAAAAAATTAAAAAAATCTGGATTTGTTCTATTTTTTTTAAGTCCTTACACCCCCCTGACTCAGTTTTTAGCATTTTTTTTCTACGTACATACATTCCACCTCTACAGTTTTATTATATGTATAGATTAAGGAAATGTTTATTACAGTATTGAGAACGATTAGAATATGATACTAGTTAATGGTATTCTTTTTAATTTTTGTGTCTTTCTTTTTGTAATGTGCACGTTAATGTAAAAATAAAACAGAGTTTATTTGTTCGCTCAAGTAGTTTCAAATGTAGGAAGAGCTCTCTGTTCTTCACACATATATGTAAATATATTCAGCTGTTATTACTATAACTGGCTGTAAACATAACACTTATATAAACATAATTTTAACGAAAGATTAAAATTCACTGCCCAGTTAACACTTAATGTTTATTAGCTCTTGTGTTTAGCCCATTTATTAAGAAAATAAATTTATATAAACTAGCAGCTCACCCTCGCTTCACTCGGGTCTGGGATAAGAAACTTTTGTGTTATTCCAGACTATAATCTACATCTGTATTAAATTTCATTCAGATCCGTTCAGCCGTTGTGGCGTAAAAGAGTAACAAACATCCATACTCACAAACTTTCACATTTATAATATTAATACGGATATTAAAAGTAAATTATAATACAGTTCTTATTGTTTATGTATTTTTATTTTAAATCATTGTGCCATTTTTGTATCGAGTAATCAATCTATTTTTTATTGTTGTAGTTTGCTCCTTTAAACCGATCGTTCATTGATCAAAATTACCGCTCAAACTCATTCGTGTCTCGCTGACAATACGTGCCACTGACAGAATATATTGCGTCTGACACAACTCTAAGCCATTAAAGAAAAAAAAATATCATAGATTAATTCAAGTTTAGTTTTGTTTAAATTTTACTTATTTGTATTTTGGTGATCGACGCTCATGGTGTACAGATAATGCCTTTACAATATTTTTACTAAACACGTAGGTACTGTATCCAAATAGTAAAAAAAATATTATAAATTTATATAAAATGTATGTCTAAATTAAAAACCATAAGATTTAATTTAATGAAAATATAGATCACGGAGGCATATTTAATTTCTAATAATAAAAAAATATATGTATATAAAATATATCATTATTTTGTCTTATAAATAACTGACATACATTTTAAAAGGTCGGCAAAACTAAAATAATTAGCTGTAAATTAAATTTTTTAACGATTGTAACTTTTAAGTGAAACGTATGTAATTAACTCTATCTGGTTGTATTTATGTAGAAAGCATTAATATTTCAAAAATCATTATTTACTGGTAGGTACATATTTCGATAAAAAATATCATTATATTACAGTCGAGATGACTTTGACAGAAGATTAACTCGTCATAATTATGTCATTGCGTACGAGCTTTAATGTTACGGTTACGTATGAGATGTTTACAAAATTGCAATATACAACTTTCAACTATTTTTTTTATGTCGAACTAGTTTTCGTTCGTGGTTCTATTCTCCTATTATAGCTATAAATTATTATTATTACTCTCAAGCGATAGCGAAACGTCTTTTATTGGGAGTTAAATTATTTCGATTTTTTTAAATTAAAATTAAAAAATAAGAATGAAATATATATATGTTATAAGTTTGACGTCGATGTCTGTCTGTCTGTCTGGACCTGCGAGAAATTCTCGGTAAACGTATGTTCAGGATAATTATTGTCGTTCGCTTACAATCAGCCTTGCAATTAACTTCAGTAATTGATTTTTAATATATTTTGGCAAATCTACAACATTTCTTTTAGGGTGAATCCAAAAATTCTTAAATTAAAAACTAAATGATACGTGAGTTTCATTTCAATACGTTGATTCATATCCTTTTTGTAACAAATCCAAAATAAAGTTACAGAATTTTTAATTTACATGTATAAAATTAAAATAAATAGGTATATGACAAAATTTGTATGATTAAATATTGAGAAAAAATAGAATAAATTAATAACGTATTTGTGTATCAGTAATATTATAACAAAACATGAGACGAAGGAACTTTTGAATATACTTTCCCAACCTTTACCACCATAAATAAAATACATCCGCTCTGAACGCCCAAGTTTCTTCATAATTTCTCATCTTATGTTATAAATCAGTTGGGTACAATGCTCATCGTCACCGTATTACTTTTAATATAAAATAAAAGATTCATGCTTCAAAATTTATTTATGCTTTTACTACTTCGTGTAGTAGGATGGATAGGTCCCGTAAAAAGTAACTACATATAAACATTGTAAACTCTCTAACCTTAACCTTTATTTTTAATAATACAAAGATTCTGTAAATACATTCATTATCGACCTTGAGAGTAAATCTCCCTCGATGGTAAATTATTACCGCCTATGGACCACATTCGTAATCAACGTTACTCCATGGTAATTTTTTATCAAATACCATGAAAAATAAATAATTTTGGCCTTATTTTTAGTCATGAAAAGTTACATATTTACTAGCTATGTCTAACATAACACTTTCTTTTTTTATATTTACCTCAGATAATATAATACTGTACTAGTATTTACATAGACATCTCTGTGACGT